GAACTGGGGGAGGAAGCAGGAGCCCACTCTGCTACGTGAAGGCTGGGCTCGAACCACTGAAGTGTCGACCATTTCTGGCCAGCAACTTTCAGTGTCATTAAGCCGCTGCGCCACCGCGTCCCCCATACCTTGGTAGGTCTATGTAATACCACTACTGTGTGAGCTTTGCTGATTACCAGTGGGCTTCTGAATGCAATTCAAGGTGCTGGTAGTTACCTATAAAACCCTTCATGGCACGGGGCCTGGATATTTGTGGGATTGTCTCTGGTTGTCTCTGGGCCTCCTATAAGATCTGAGGTTCCAGGCATGCTCCAGGTCCTCTCAGTTAAAATAGTGTCACTTTATGAAGATAGGTCTTCTCTGTTGTAGCACCTGCCCTGTGGAACAGCCTCTCCCTTCCAAAATTCAGTTAATCCTGAGACTGCTGGCCTAATCCTGAGGGGCTGGGCAAGCATGGTATATGAGTCTATTGTAACTACAAAAGTGTCTGGTTTCTGAAACAGCCTCTTTTACTTAACTATATTTTATTATTTAAGCATTTTCCTTTGTATCTGATGTTTTTAACCCTTGTGAGCCACCCACAGTTGCTTGGCAAGTGGGGAGATCTATCTATCTATCTATCTATCTATCTATCTATCTATCTATCTATCTATCTATCTCTATATCTATATATGAATAAATAAAAGTTTAAGTTTGTATAATATTGAACAATTCCTTCGGTTTTAAATTATTTGGATATACACATTCTTCAAACATTGTTACTGGGTGTTACATCTCATGAGCTTAAGAAGTTATTGCACTTACTTCATTTGAAGCTAAGTTGGTTTCAGCAAAACTAAAATTTCTCTTCCCTTCTCCATGTTATTCTATGCTTTACCATTTTTTCTACATTCCAGATTTACTAGAACAAAAACAATTGGTTACTGTCATCAGAATATCAATTGTTGCTGATCATTTACTTGGAAAAAAGCACTATTTTACTGTAAAAATAATAACACATTTTAAAAATTAAAATAATAAAATGAGCATCTGTAAGTATGGAAATGTTTGACCTATCACCTCTTGGCTGTAAATAATTTTTAAAATAAATAAAGATTATTACGGTCAGTGGTACTGATCTTGTATTGGCCCTAGATCTTCATCCCAGGGCCAATGATTCAGTTGTCTTACTGAATATATAAAATGCTTAACAAAACATATGATATTTGTTGGGAAATTTGTAGAGCTGCAGATATGGACAATAAAATTGCATAATTGGGAGCTGTAATGCCCCCCCCCCCAAAAAAATCATGTGATCAAAACCAAAAAGACCATACATATTTCCTGTTATCAGTGGTGTAATTTGTGTAATCTTCTATCATCTAGTCTTTAAACAAGTATGCCAATACAATACTGAATAAAAGATTAACACATAACCAAAGCTAATACTGTAATTCAGTGTTTCTCAACCTCAGTAACTTTAAGATGTTTGGACTTCAACTCCCAGAATTCCCGAGCCAGCATGGTTGGCTGGGGAATTCTGGGAGTTGAAGTCCACATATCTTAACATTGCTAAGGTTGAGAAACACTGCTGTAATGGATCAAGCCTGCAAACTTGAAACTGGCCAAGGTGTTACTGAGGGCCCAAAACCATAGGTTCCCTATGTATGGTGTAAAAGTAGCTATTACCTTGAGCAGAGGTGATCACCACCTATGTACAGGTACAGTAAGATGCATATTTTGTGTCGTATGTAGAAGTTCTCAGCCATAAGCCCATCTCCTGGTAGGGAAAAAAAATTGTAGAAAGATCTAACGAACTGCTGCCAGCTTGTGTTGACAGTCTTGGGTAAGATGGGCCAGTGGTCTGATTCAGAATGGCAGCTTCCTATATTTCTATGAGTCACTGTTCTGGCTTGGGTAAACTTCCTGACTGAAGTAAATAAAGCCAGAGGAGTTAATCATAGAGAATCATGGAATACAGTGGGCTGAATCCTGCCTGCTCTTTTGCTTTGGACTCATGAATGCTTTTAATTTTTCCCCATAGCCTTCTAGTCTGACAATTTGGGAAATGACTAGCTCTCGAACACAGAAGTCACAAGCTGAGTACTATGAAAGCCACTCATTAAGACCACTGAGGGATTTGAAGCCTATTTTCTCAACAGAATTTTACAGTTCCAGATTTGGATTCATATTATTTGAAAATTAATTTTCACGTAGCATGCCTGAAACAGAACTGAATCAAAACTGAAATAAAATGTCCTCTGCTTGAACAGCGGATTCAACGTTTGCTGGTAAAGTAGCCCAAGTACCTGGACATTCAGCACAAATCTATTCAGCAGGTTATTGGCAGCCTCTTTGCAAATAGTAAGTGCAAAGGTTTGAATCTGTGAAAACCCCAACAATTGTGGAATTGTATGTAAAGATCAAGGGCAAAAAAGGACGAGGAAAGATAAAGGACAACTGAAACAATCACACTCGACATGCGGGACACGAGAAGCTCAGGAACAGAGTGAGTAGCTGAAGGGGGAAGGAAACCCGGGGAGTTACCTTTTCTCTCCCGCCCAATAGAGCGGGCGCGATGGCTTAAGGGACATGTAGTCTGCATTGGGAGGTCTCGCGAAGCAGAGCTGATGCTCGGAACTACGTTTCCCAGCAACCTTTTCACAGATTGATTTCTCCCACCGTTCATCTTGGGCGCAAATTATCACGTTTTGTTTATCACTGGAGCCCCGCCCTTTCCTAACTCACGAGGGTGTCGTCACTCCTCATGAATATTAAGAAGGCGGTCGAATGGCGTTGCTTATTAGGGCGAGCGAGCGAGGGAAACAGAAAATTACACCCTTCGTATGAGGCCTGCTTTAATTAATATTCATAAGGAGCCTCAGAAGGAGCGGAGAGGAGAGGCCACGCCGGGTGGGAGGGAGGAAGGAGGCGGTGGCTGCTGCCTGCTGCCGCTGATCCTATCTCTTCTCCAGTCCCTAATGGCGCTCGCGACAACGGCAGCAGCTGCGCGGCGGCGAGGCTGAGCCGAATGGAACGCTGAGACACCGACGGAATGTTCACTGTTGCTACATAATCCCGCGCCCCCTCCCCCCTTCGGAACGTGGCTCGCCCGGGCGTTCTACGATGGAACCTGCGCAGCAACCACAGCTTGGAAGCCGAGA